CCCGCGGGTTTAGTTTCGCGGTGCACTTCTAGAAGCTTTCTCGAATTACTCTATTGAATGTTTTTTTCTTTGTTCCGTGTAAAAGTGCATGAAGAATTTCATGAATAATACAAAGTAACACTTGTTGAAAATTAATTCAAAGCTAAAAGTTTTATGTAGATATGCTGTCACACTGGAAAGAAACGAAGCGCAAAAGCCAGGTTTTCCATTTAAAGTCATGAAATATCTAGAGCAGCAAGAAATGCTGGACATCACTTGTTGACCATCACAGCTTCTGTTGCTTGTCCACATTTCTTGTCTCTTTCCCTTCAATGTCTAGCGATTGAGAAGAGGGACTTTATGCTATTAAAGAATGCATGCAACTTAAAGCCGTGTTAGCGAAGAGTCGTCAACTATTGGCAGCAAAACTGCCTGGTTTTGTAAAATTTCTTTCAAAAGTAGTATTTGCCATGCCAAAAATGAAGTCAAAACAACGTCCTTGGCAAGAGAAATTTCAATATTTGATTAATATTAAATGCCACCTTATTTATTACGTTTAAGCAGAACAATAAGCACTACCAGACAGTGTGTATTCACTAGCAGTGAGCTGTCTTGCAAATATAAAGGAACTGTGATATATGTAGTATTTTTGTGAATGAAATAACAATTTAGTTGGGATTAAAACGTTTGGCATTACTTTTTATATAAGAATTTTGCAGAAAATTAAAAGTTTGGCTTACATTTTGCAATAAATTAAATGTGAAATTTGCAGTACTTATATCTGCAATAACCTAGGGGTAACAATCTGCGCTGTTGGATGTGAAGTTGCCTCTCTTGGGTATGAAGATTAGTAATGAAAGTAAATCAGTCAACAAAAGGACGAAGTTGCCCAGGATTTCAGATCCTGAAACAGCTGGCCACAAAAATTCTATAGAATGCGGCAGCATAGGGAGCTTCAGGGTAATTTTGAGACCTAGAAGCAATTTAGTAAACTAAGGAAATATGAACACCAAGCAGCGAGACAGTGCTGCATAATCTATACTCCCTTCCCCCCTTCCCAAAAAAAAAGAAAAAAAAACTCTTTTTTTTAAACAATCTGTCACATTTTCGTGGCGATAATCGTGTTAATACCTCTACTGAGGAACGCAGGCTTGAGACTGCCGACTGGAAACATCCAGCAGTCCGCTGTTCCGAATAATAATTTAATAAAAGAAGCACTGCAACTATTACCAATTCGTTTGGCCTACTGTACTTGTTCAGAAGGCGTTAAATTAGATTTATAAAAGTAAGAAAAGTGGGGCTATTCGGAACAGACCGCTGTTTCGTGGTGTCTCATCGAAATGACTAATAATACTTGCATATCCCCAGCTAGCCAAAAGACCGATTTTTCTGGGAATCCACCTTCCGGACAAAGTAGGATAAACTGAGTTTGCTATTTTTTGAAACATCCTGATTTAATTTTTCCTGGAACTAGGGATCATCGAAAAATATTTTGGGACAAAAGTACTTAGGCTAAAGTTAAAAAGTAATATAAAAATATTGAGATAAGTGGAAAAATCCGTGCACCACAAACGGTTTATAGGGTATGCAGTACAAAAAAAGTTAGAAAACAAGTAGTGCCATATTTCTAACAAAAACTTCACACAATTCGCCGACGGTTTTTTTTGATCTATGGAAAGTAAAATAGCCGAATTTTAAATGCTTATGGAGAATTTTAGCGCTGGGACGATCAATTCTTGTATTGGCGTCCCGACGATTACGACAATATCACGGAAATTCGTTTGCCTCACAATTCCATCTGGTTGCCCGATACCACGTTATACAATTCGTTGGTTTTATATTTTACAGAAAAATAATAGTCGGCTTCACATCAAAATGGATGGAAGTAGTGGGGGAGGAGGACGGAGGAAGGAGGCAGAGAGAGGGGAGAGCAGGAATAAAGGAGTCATATGTTTCCTTGATGGATTATAATCAGAGACGCAAATTATAGCTGTGACTGCCAAATTTTCGATCTTCAAGATATTACAGGATTGTAATTTAATAAAAATTTAACTTCGTCCTTCTTTTTTCTGTCGCTCTCAGTCAAATAAACCGAATGCGTCATAGTTTGGTGA